AAAAAGGTTACCAAGAAAGAACATTAAAGATGTCTTTTAAGTTTTAATTGATTCTCAACATCAGAATAGTGAAAACGAAAATTGAGTCGACCATAATATTTTGAACTAGCTTCATATATTGATGGCCAAAATTAAGGTACCAGTAGGCATAACATTCCATTAAACAGAATTTAGGAAGCCAGATGAGTAACAGAACACTCGATATCATCGATATGCAGTCCTCTTAAATTACATGACAAAAGTGCATTTTAAGGAGCTTACATAATTAAATTCAGACAATAGAGTAAGTAGTGTATCCATTTTAAGACTGTCGACCTGTGTAAGCAATTCGCGAAGTAGTCGAAACTTATCTTTTAGTATATAGGTCTTTCCATTGTTCGGATATTCTGGTTCTGTCTAGAAGTATGCAATACGATATCAACTTGCAATTCCATAAATTAACTGATCATAATTGAGCACGTGTGGCTATGCTTAAAAAGTTAACTTCTTAAATAAAAAAAAGTAAATTTTAAAATATACTTTTTTTTTTTTTTTATAACCCAGATGTCCCAGCTTAGCCGGACTAAATCCTGGACCTCTAGCCCCCGGCCCCTCAGTGATTAGTGGAGGTAAATCGCAGGTTGTGCCCTTATTGGTTCCCACATGGCTTTTACTTCTTCTCCAAAGGGACCCTCCTCCATGGTTATTACATCACCAAGCTGCTCCAACCCTTCCTCTGGTTATTACATCACTTGGCTGCTCCAACCAGGAATCGAACTCCCCACACTTGGTTCCAGAGCCCTCCAATGTGATTGTTCCGCCAACTTGAATGTGCCATGGGGGGCAATTTTAAAATATACTTCATAATATCTTTATTAGTCAAAGTTAGAAAAAGTGGGTGTTACATTTTGAAAGTCAGAAAGTAACAGTTTCTGCTTAAAAATAACAAACTAGTTATCCAAACCTGTACCGTAATGTCATGCTCCGTCTTTATTCCTGCTTTAAAAATAACTTTTGACTAAAAAGCTAATTTTGGGCTTATTTTAAGGGATTATTACTTATTAGTCTCGAAAATAACTTTTAACTTAAATTCATACCAAACTGGGCCTTAATTCCAGAATCAAGTAAGATTTCCGAAATTAAGTAAGATTTCCGATGTGGTTTTTCTTTTTCTTTTCTTTTTTTTTTTTTAAAGCCAATGCCTATTTTTGTTCTTCCTCGCTACTTTTCCAAAACACTTAAGTAGATTTCTATTTTTTTACCCCAATCCGAAAAGTTTGACCCATTAAAAAACAGAATAAATGAAACCATGCAATGGAGAGAAATAGGAATTGAAACTACGAAGGGCATCTTCGAAGGAGACACCAAAACGCTAAAATGTACCAAATTTTGGTGCAAAAGGCCTCCAATGTAGTACCAAAGTTTTAAAATGGTGCAACAGTATTCAAAATGGTGCAAAGTGAATACTTTTGCATAAAAAATGGTGCAAAGTTAATTTTACCTTTTTTCGTTTGTCAAACAAATTGATGAAGGGTATTTGTGTCATTTGCGTTATATTTTTTAATGCAATAAATTGTTGTTGTTGTTGTTGTTGTTGTTGTTGTTATTATAGTTATTATTATTATTATTATTATTATTATTATTATTATTATGAGCATTTAAAATACATTTTAATAATGTAAAAAAAAATAGTTAATGTAATTAAAATAAGAATACAAAAAAATAATAGTTAATGAAGTTAATATGTTATTTAATTTAACATAATTATTTGTTTAGTAATTTATGTATTTGTAAAATAAATAAAGAAATAATTTTTTGAAATAAATAAATTGTTAAGAACAAAAAAAATGAAGAAAATGATTTAACGTGTTCATTAGGTTGGAATTTTTTTTTTAGTTTGGTGCAATATTTGGTGTAAATGGTGCAAAACTTATCTCAAATTTTGGTATAGGGATAGAAATGATCTAAGCCACAGATTGACATCTACAGCCTGTTTGGGAGTGATTTTTTGGCCCAAAAAATTAATTTTTTTATTGTTATTTCACTATTCTAACCGTCATATTTGACTTCTTCTTCCACAGATGGACCCCATTTTTCTCCTAACAGTCAAAAAATTAATTATCAAAATTACTCCCAAACAAGCTCTAGATTCTTTCAAAACTATTTTTTTCATGCTCTTTTTTCAACCATGCATTTGTATAATAAAATATTTTTTTATGTAAACTCAAAACTTTTTCATACTTTTTAATCACATATTTTTCAAAAATTTACTATTCAAAAAATCATTCTCCACAAAAAAATAACTATCAAACAGGGGCTAAATAAATACTTCAATACTAATTCTTTGAAATATAACATAAATTAGATTTAGGAAAATAATAAATGTTTATCAAAAACCTCCTTTGGATAGATATTACAATATTCCATTAATGATGCTTTTTATTAGACAATTATATAGGAAAATTATCTACAGCCTTCGAATTATTTACAAGGACATCATGCAACAGAGAATTTAAGTTGCAGTATAACTTCCCACAGATCCATTGAACTCGCTTTATTCTCAGTATATTAGCTTACTACCAAATTAACTTGAGTTTATTTTCTTTGTGGTACCCTGCAGCTACATACACAATGTGCAGCGTTACAATTTAGCAATATTTTCTGCTTTATTTCTGTTTATATATTATTATTATAGATAGTCAAAGTCTGCTGTTCCATGAGTAAAATTTTTGAACGTTCTTGTTATTTATTTAATTTAGCCGAAATGCAACATTTAAGATGAAGAAAAAGCAATGAGACGAAGATAATCTTTTTGCAATTTTATGCAACATAACTTTTTATCTTTTTCATTTTTATTGAATAAGTTGAATAATGGATGTCTTGTTTTTGACAAGTCCATTTAAAAGAGTGACTGTTGAAAAACAAGAACTCGCAAACGAATATTGGCAAAATTGTATTCCCCTTAACCCAGGGACGTATATAATTGTTCTTTCTGTAAGGCTAAACATTAAAAGAGAGGCAGAAAATAGGAGCGTTATACAGTCTTTATGAACCTTGGTCCGATTGAACAGTAATTTAGTCACGTTGTTTTTCTATCTATATGGTGGAGATGAACATTCGACCCTTATTGCGATTTCTGTTCATCTGATTAAAATTTGACCTTTTTGTTAGACTTGAATTGTATATAACGGCAACAACTTTGTTCTTGAGAATTCTGATGATATTATGTGCTTCTAACTTTTGTTTGTGAATTCTTCTAATTTATGCCTGTTCAAAATGGCGTGTTTTACTCTTCATACTTCATTTTTCCTTAACAATAGAGCCTTTTGTACAAATGAGGGTTTTTGACATATACATTTCTATTAAATAGAGCTTAAATATGGGTTTTTGACATATACATTTCTATTATGCCCTGTTTGATTGCCTACTATTTTCCATGGAAAATAACCAAGATTTTCCAAGTTTTGAGGTGTTTGGTAGAAAAATTTTTCCATGAAAAACCTTTTCCACTTTCCTTGGCTACGTAGATAATTTTCAACTTTTTGATGAATTTGAATTCTCATCAAAATGGTGAGAATTCATTTTCTATCTTACCGTAGCGATTTTTTTTCCCTTTTTTTTTTTTTTTTTGGAAATAAAATTTTTTTCCCCTTTAAACGACAATTTTCATGTAAAACAAAATCAAACGAACACCAAAAGATAGATGATTTTTTTGAAATTTCTTGTTTTGGTAAATGGAAACAAATTTCATCCCCAATACTAGTAAAATTTATCCTTTTAATTGATAATTTTCATATAAAACAAAGGCAAACGAACAGTAAAAAAATAATTTTATTTCAACATTTTTCACGTGAAAAATTATACCAATCAAATACAATAATTTACAATTCACAGAAAAATAATTTCTAGGCAATTCAATTCACTGGAATTCGTTTTCAATTCAATTCAATTCCATTTTGAAATCAAACGGACCCTTAGATTAAAATGCCGCTTTTCACATTTGGCATATTATGATAACATTCTAATTGTACAAAATGACACATCACACTTACTGTTTGGTAGGAATTATTGTTAGTCTAACTAAACCCCTGTTTCGTTTAGATAAAATTTCAATTTAGCGTAAATTTTGATAAAAATTAATCGAATATATGATTGAAAAATTATGGTCCAATAAAATATGTTATTAAAATTTATTTTTGACTTTAATTTAAGTGCGTGTCTGGGGTGATTTTATCCCCGAATAATTGGCTTTTGCATCACATCAGTGGCCCCCACTTGCAAACCAGCTTTCAAGGTACAAATTATAAAGAAAGTCGCTTTTACCCCTTTCAAGGGCATGTTTGGTAGGAATTTTGAGAATTGATTTTTTGACGGTTAGAAGAAAAGTGGGATCTACATGTGAGAGAAAAAGTCAAAAATTACGACTTGAATAGTAAAATAACGGTAAAAAAATCAATTTTTTGATACAACAAATCCCTACCAAACGGGGCCCAAATCTTGTGCATTATTTGAAGGAAAGAAATGAAAGTGGTAAAAGGGTACAATTGGCAATGCAAAGTTAAACGAAATGAATGCCACAGTTGTATATCACGTGAATGTCAGATTGAGAGGAATAAAGGAATGGATTTTTAGGCACAGTGGTCTCTTTTCGGATTATAATTTGGACTTTGCTATTTGTACATTCAAATGTTACGAATGGATTTTTAGGCACAATGGTCACTTTTCGGATTATAATTTGGACTTTGTTATTTGTACATTCGAGGTTGACATCCGAAATGACAGTGTGGGCCCTCCTATTGTGAGGGGAGTGTCATCCGAAATGTCAACCCCAGATGTACAAATAACTTTATTGTTATAATTTTCCAAAGAATTGCGCCTAGATAATGGCTAAATTTTAATCAATTTTTTTAGTTGAACCAAACAAAATTTAATAAATAAAAAACAAACATTTTGTACCAAATTGAAACAATATTAAGTTGAGTGACCAACTTGAAAATATAAATATAAAAGACATCTTCATATCTATCAAATTTTGAGGTGCCACTATGATAATACATGTTGATAACCTTCATTCCAATTACTTTCAATTCCTTTAAATGAAGACAACATGACAATCCGTGAATAATTTCAAATTTTCTATTGCAAATAGGTTCGAGATTTTATTACAAACATGATAACTACATATTTTACTTTTTAAGAGGGAACTTTGAAGAGTAGAGGTGATGATACTCTCAGTAGGCACTATCAAGAAGGGGGACTGATGGTCACAACTAGAGGAAACTTTTTCGTGATAGTGTTTCCAGGGGCTTCACTCATATCGAAATCTTTTTCTGTTAATCCAAATGGCAAGGCAAAGTCAAAATTAAGTATCAATTTTGCTAATGCAAGCTCGTCAACAGCTATGGCAAATGTAATGCCAGGACAGCCTCTCCGACCAGCACCAAATGGAATGTACTCAAAATTAAGCCCTCTAAAGTCCATTTCTGTGTTCAAAAACCTTTCTGGCTGAAAATCATTAGGATTTTCCCACACCAATGGGTCTCTTCCAATTGCCCAAGAATTGATTAATACTCGGGTTCCACGTGCAATATCATAGCCTGATATTGAACTATCTTGGGTAGATTCTCGAGGGAGCAGCAAAGGAAGCGGAGGATGTAGTCTTAGGCTCTCTTTCATCACTGCCTTTAAGTAGGAAAGTTTCTCTAAATCATCTTCCGTTATATCTAGTTTGCTTCCAGCTATTTGTCTCACCTCATTCTGCAATTTCTCCATCGTTTTTGGGTGCCTTAGAAGCTCTGCCATTGTCCACTCCAAAGAAGTATAAATTGTATCCGTCCCAGCAGCAAAAATATCCTGTAATAAACGATATCTTTCATCTGTAAATATGCTTTAGTGGTTTTGAACACACATCGATGAACCTTTCTAATTCTTTGTGAAAGAAACACAAGTAAAAAATGAATAAAAATCTATCCACTTCATCCCATCTCAATCCCTTGATTGATTTATGGTATCAAGATGAAGTTTAATAGTTTTTCAGGTTCTTTCAATGCTACTTTCAACAAGGAAATACTAAATGTTAACCAAATTGTTCTCAACTTTAAAGAATGATTTAAAACAAATTGCAAGTGAATAGTTTTCACATCTAATACAGACACATGAGAAAACGCAGTGAGGAAGAGACTGAGGGATTCTTACAAAAATGACAGCTTTGATTGTATCATTTTCAATAGGGGAAACAGCCATGTTTTCTCTCTGAGCTTCGAGCAATATGTCCACAAGATCTGCCTCGTGGCTGCTGTCCTTCAGATTCGTCTCTCCTTTCTTTCTATTTCGGTGCTCTTCAACTACACCTTCAAAAAATTCATCAAACCGTCTAGCCAATTTCTCAACTCTTGCTTCGAAACCTGTAACACGCTTAATCCAGTTAAGCCTTGGAATGTAATCCCCTGGATTAAAAGTACCTAATAACTCTGCCAGTTCCTTCAACATTAACTCAAATTTTGTGCTTCCTTCTGCTTCACCATCACTATATTTCCTCCCCAGGGCCACTCGAGATATAATATCATTAGTAAGCGTCACCAGTATATTGCTCAAGTTTATCGAAGATGAAGAAGAATGTCTAATTTTCTCGATCATAAGGGACATTTCTTCTTCTCGTATGCGACGAAAGGATTGAACCCTCTTATTACTCAAAAGATGAAGCACACATATACTTCTCACCTGCCTCCAGTACTCACCATAAGGAGCAAAAGCTATGTCCTTAGAGCCATATATAACTTTGTCAATAACGCTCAATTTTGGCCTGTTTGAGAAAATCAGGTCCTGATTTTTCATGATCTCGCAAGCAGCATCAGCAGACGAGACAATAAGTGCTGGCACACTGCCCAGATGAAGCAACATCAGTGGACCATAGCGTTTGGATAGTGCGTGCAGTGAGCGATGTGGGAATAGGCCTAGTTGATGAAGATTTCCAATCAAGGGAAGCTTTGGTGGAGATGGCGGCAATCTTTTCAAGGCTTTTGAAGAAGGATTGCTGTACCATTTGAAGAGGAAAATGATGAACAAAATGAAGGAAACAAGAGGAACTATCAAATGGGAAGAAGAAATCATTTTTCTTAATCCCAGAATGAATTCGGCAAGATATGCTCAACTATTTAATTAGGCAGACATACAGCTGAAATTATAGGCCCCGTTTGGTAGAGATTTTTTGTCCCAAAAAATTGATTTTTTGACCGTTATTTTACTATTCAAGTCGTAATTTTTGACTTCTTCTCTCACATCCCAGATGTACAAATAACTTTATTGTTATAATTTTCCAAAGAATTGCGCCTAGATAATGGCTAAATTTTAATCAATTTTTTTAGTTGAACCAAACAAAATTTAATAAATAAAAAACAAACATTTTGTACCAAATTGAAACAATATTAAGTTGAGTGACCAACTTGAAAATATAAATATAAAAGACATCTTCATATCTATCAAATTTTGAGGTGCCACTATGATAATACATGTTGATAACCTTCATTCCAATTACTTTCAATTCCTTTAAATGAAGACAACATGACAATCCGTGAATAATTTCAAATTTTCTATTGCAAATACGTTCGAGATTTTATTACAAACATGATAACTACATATTTTACTTTTTAAGAGGGAACTTTGAAGAGTAGAGGTGATGATACTCTCAGTAGGCACCATCAAGAAGGGGGACTGATGGTCACAACTAGAGGAAACTTTTTCGTGATAGTGTTTCCAGGGGCTTCACTCATATCGAAATCTTTTTCTGTTAATCCAAATGGCAAGGCAAAGTCAAAATTAAGTATCAATTTTGCTAATGCAAGCTCGTCAACAGCTATGGCAAATGTAATGCCAGGACAGCCTCTCCGACCAGCACCAAATGGAATGTACTCAAAATTAAGCCCTCTAAAGTCCATTTCTGTGTTCAAAAACCTTTCTGGCTGAAAATCATTAGGATTTTCCCACACCAATGGGTCTCTTCCAATTGCCCAAGAATTGATTAATACTCGGGTTCCACGTGCAATATCATAGCCTGATATTGAACTATCTTGGGTAGATTCTCGAGGGAGCAGCAAAGGAAGCGGAGGATGTAGTCTTAGGCTCTCTTTCATCACTGCCTTTAAGTAGGAAAGTTTCTCTAAATCATCTTCCGTTATATCTAGTTTGCTTCCAGCTATTTGTCTCACCTCATTCTGCAATTTCTCCATCGTTTTTGGGTGCCTTAGAAGCTCTGCCATTGTCCACTCCAAAGAAGTATAAATTGTATCCGTCCCAGCAGCAAAAATATCCTGTAATAAACGATATCTTTCATCTGTAAATATGCTTTAGTGGTTTTGAACACACATCGATGAACCTTTCTAATTCTTTGTGAAAGAAACACAAGTAAAAAATGAATAAAAATCTATCCACTTCATCCCATCTCAATCCCTTGATTGATTTATGGTATCAAGATGAAGTTTAATAGTTTTTCAGGTTCTTTCAATGCTACTTTCAACAAGGAAATACTAAATGTTAACCAAATTGTTCTCAACTTTAAAGAATGATTTAAAACAAATTGCAAGTGAATAGTTTTCACATCTAATACAGACACATGAGAAAACGCAGTGAGGAAGAGACTGAGGGATTCTTACAAAAATGACAGCTTTGATTGTATCATTTTCAATAGGGGAAACAGCCATGTTTTCTCTCTGAGCTTCGAGCAATATGTCCACAAGATCTGCCTCGTGGCTGCTGTCCTTCAGATTCGTCTCTCCTTTCTTTCTATTTCGGTGCTCTTCAACTACACCTTCAAAAAATTCATCAAACCGTCTAGCCAATTTCTCAACTCTTGCTTCGAAACCTGTAACACGCTTAATCCAGTTAAGCCTTGGAATGTAATCCCCTGGATTAAAAGTACCTAATAACTCTGCCAGTTCCTTCAACATTAACTCAAATTTTGTGCTTCCTTCTGCTTCACCATCACTATATTTCCTCCCCAGGGCCACTCGAGATATAATATCATTAGTAAGCGTCACCAGTATATTGCTCAAGTTTATCGAAGATGAAGAAGAATGTCTAATTTTCTCGATCATAAGGGACATTTCTTCTTCTCGTATGCGACGAAAGGATTGAACCCTCTTATTACTCAAAAGATGAAGCACACATATACTTCTCACCTGCCTCCAGTACTCACCATAAGGAGCAAAAGCTATGTCCTTAGAGCCATATATAACTTTGTCAATAACGCTCAATTTTGGCCTGTTTGAGAAAATCAGGTCCTGATTTTTCATGATCTCGCAAGCAGCATCAGCAGACGAGACAATAAGTGCTGGCACACTGCCCAGATGAAGCAACATCAGTGGACCATAGCGTTTGGATAGTGCGTGCAGTGAGCGATGTGGGAATAGGCCTAGTTGATGAAGATTTCCAATCAAGGGAAGCTTTGGTGGAGATGGCGGCAATCTTTTCAAGGCTTTTGAAGAAGGATTGCTGTACCATTTGAAGAGGAAAATGATGAACAAAATGAAGGAAACAAGAGGAACTATCAAATGGGAAGAAGAAATCATTTTTCTTAATCCCAGAATGAATTCGGCAAGATATGCTCAACTATTTAATTAGGCAGACATACAGCTGAAATTATAGGCCCCGTTTGGTAGAGATTTTTTGTCCCAAAAAATTGATTTTTTGACCGTTATTTTACTATTCAAGTCGTAATTTTTGACTTCTTCTCTCACATGTGGACCTCACTTTTCTTTTAACGGAGACATACAGCTGAAATTATAGGCCCCGTTTGGTAGAGATTTTTTGTCCCAAAAAATTGATTTTTTGACCGTTATTTTACTATTTAAGTCGTAATTTTTGACTTCTTCTCTCACATGTGGACCTCACTTTTCTTTTAACGTTCAAAAAATCAACTCTCAAAATCCCTACCAAACGGGCCCATAATTTTGAAAATTTCATATTCATCTCTATTTGAGTGGCCATTTGATATTGTACAATTTGATTATCAACACCCAAGCCCCCGTTTGAGCCCCATTTATTTCCATTACTTTTCATTTTCTTCAGTCAAAAGTTGCATGTTAATGGGACCCACACTGTCTATTACTTCACTGAACCGTGCTTTTTGTCATTTAGATGTGGAATTTACAATAATATAATACTATCATGTCAACACCAATTACAATACTACCCTTACAATAGTTTTGAGTAGAAATTGGCAAGTTCAAAAGGAGGGTGAAATTGTAAATCTATTTCCAACGGTTGTGGTGGCATTATTGTCGTCTGATGCACGACTTCAGCAGTTGGCAGAAATGTCTTTGACTTGTGGGTTGAAAATGTTGAAAAATGGGGGAAAATGAGAAGTAAAGGGGCTCAAACGAAATTAAATTGATCGTGCCCATAGATATATATGGACAAACACATCCTTTTGTTAAAGTTGTACCATACATTTCTTTAGTACAACGAAAGTTAGCTAAAAGCCTAAAACAAACAAGATTGTGACCAAATATAAACCACATAACATAAGGTAGGACTGCCTGAGACATAACTTTCTAGATTCCTCTACTCGAACACAACATTTATTTGAGCGAGGAAAGTTTATACTGAGCAAACAATTTCGTGGAGTAAACAGCAAACTTCCAATATGTGTTATTTTAGTCATCAAACCACTTTTTCAACGTTGATGGTCACACAGTTTATGAGATTTTCTTAATTAGATCACTCTTCATGTATTAGTTAATATGTTTAAAAAAAATTTATGGTGTCTAAAATATTGTTGCTTATCATGTGATTGAGTCAATTGGTGAGACATCGTTAAAATGCAAATGAATGTGTAATAACAAATGTCATTTTTGTTTGACTTTGAATTTTATCGTTCTATGATAGTTGTTCATTGTTAATTCTTAAAAGGTTGAACTCCAACTTTGAGGGCCCTCAACGTCTCGTCCCTAGAGCTTTGAAAAGGAGGTAAATCGCGGGATATACCCCAATAGATAAGGGAACAAGAGCTGTCTGTACACTGTGCCTACAAGGAGTCTAATTCCATGTTTCAGGAATCGAAACCTTACACTGTGGCTGCCAGTAAGGCTTGAGGTAACCTCACTCCTTTGTTTTGCACCACTAGACTATGCCCCGGGGGCTGTTCATTGCTAATTCTTACTCACATCTTTGGTCATTTAGTTGTATATTAAGTTGAAATATTTCAATATTTCTGAAGCCATATAATTAATTAGTATTTCACTATGAGTCCATATTGCTTTCTATTCTACTTTGTCTATAGTGTGGTACTTTGCGTTTATTGTATTTTGGTTTTTATTTGATCGCATGTTCATGATGGTTTTGTTAAATAAATATTGTTGAGTTACTTCAAACTAGGGGTGTCAAATAAGGCGAGCCAAACGCGACTCGCTCAACCAAAGTGTGGTTCGTCTCGTCCCATGAGGTCTCCACTGTCTCGGTAAGCTAATTTTTTTCTTTTATTGAAATTGACATATTTCACTCATTATGGAAGTCAGTTCACACACGTCGAGGAGCCTGCTCATTTGACTCAGGAGTCTAATCGTACAATTCAATGAGTGGCTTGCAAGAGAAACTTGTTGCTCAACTAGCCTAGGATGCGACCCAACTCCCACTTAATTAACACCCCTACTTCAAACAAACAAAAGGTTAGATGACCAAACGCGTTTTAAATCCCTATTGCAAAAGTTGTAGGGGGCTCACTTACACCATTATTGCTGCAGTGCATTGAATTTTTTTAGAGAGTTGTCTTGTTGTGTCCAGAGGGATATAATAATGTGTGTTTCAAGCAATTCCAGATAAATATCTGCACTAGAAGCTATATATTTTTTGTCATATCAAATTTATGTAATTCTGTTTGATTCAATACTACTTAAGAAATATAATTTTCTATTTCACATTAGTCACAAAATGCAGGATAAAATGGCAATTAATTTGGGTTCTTTTGATCTACCTCATCCAACACGTTTGGACCATGTCACACGTGAATAAAAAAACAAAATTAGAATTTCAGCTGGTGTATTTTGCTACTATTTTTCCTTTTTACCTTATTTCTTTTTCTTTATTATTACGATTACATTTGATTTCGTTCTACAGTTTGATCATGGAAATCCAAATAAAATAGATAGTGGC